ATAAAGCAGTAGGTAAGGTACACTTGCCTACTGTGGGTAAGGAGATGAGAAGGAAGCTAACTTCTCATCTTCCCACAGTGGCCACAATATCAGCAAAACTTCCGGGGATACCCGGAAGTCACATGAAGGGGTAGGAACCGGGTCCGGAGCATGCAGCACACGGAGCGTGCGCGCGTGTGGGAAGCGCGGTGGGTGGAAGCGGGTCCGGACACGGGTCCGGGTCCGGGCTAGTCAGGGTGTGTGCCCTGACACAAGGTCCAAGAAAGTCCGAACTTGGAAGTCAAACTCCGGAATATTGGCAAAGGTAAATAAATGAAATTAGCTAACCAATGGACATAAGCAGAGGTGGGGTCAAAGTCTGAGGTTGGAGCTAAGACCAGAATTCTGAGATGGAGATGCAAACAGGATTCCAGAGCAGAGGTCTGGAGTCAGGAGTGTAGATGTTGTGTACTTGTCTGGAAGGTGTCATGGTTGAGGTTGGACCCAGAATGGTCTCTGGAGTTGGACCGAAGGTGGTGTTGGAGCCAGAGGTGGGATAACCTCTTGGGAGTTGGCCAGGGTGAAGGTGATGAAAGGGAAGTGGGGCTCCGGAGTCAGTTTTGGAGTCCAGGAGCCTGGAGCAGAGGTCAGGATTGTATGGATATGACAAGATCAGGCTGATTGGAAACATCAAGGTGACCAGATCTCTCCAGATCAGAGCAGAACAATGGAGATCAGGCCTGTGTGTCATATCCATACATACCTGATCCCGATCCGACTTCTGGACCCTCCACTTCACCACCTCCAGAGTCCTACCCTACCCCTGTCCACTCCGATACCCACCTTCAGATGTGATGTCACCTCCTCTCCTCACCTCCTCACATCACTCCTCTCCCTCTGACCCTCTTCTGCCAACCTCTGCCAAGTTACAGCCTTCCACCACAGTCCCATACCCCATACTCAGACACTGCTTGTACCTTTGCTCCAAGATCCTGTCATGGTTCTGACCTTGGACTTTCCACTGCATTGGTGACCTCATTTCACATAAACTCCATCACCAATATTCCTCAGACTTCCATCTCTGTCTCTGTAACCTCCATAAGCTCTGCTACCTCCGAGCTTTACGGAATGTCCTCAGCACTTTCGCCACTTGTACTGTATCTTTCGCACCTTCCCCTCATCCCTATTTGGACTACTGCTTCCTTCCATTTAGCCAGTTAGTCATCAACCCCATTTCACCTCATCCTCCTGCCCCTCTGGGCTTTGCCCTCCCTACCTCCTTTCAGACATACCATAGAGTCTAACTCATGACCTTTGGTACGCTCCACTTCCATAACTCCCTTTGTCTCTGTTCAGATGCCTTTGTTCCAATTCGGACCCCCTTTGATTTCCTTGTGCTTTCATCTCCCCATTATATACAGGCACTTGTACATACTTGATTAGACCCTCAGTCTAAAATCGACTAGAAATGCCCCCTAGAGACTTCTCGCTCATCACCTCTGAAATTAAGGACCAAATGGACAAACAGCAATGGCACAGCGCTCCCCTTGAGTCACTAAGGCCAAAGTCCCTCCTTGCTAAGTCTCCAGTTCTAACACTGTGCCACTGTCTGTGCAGACCCAAAGTGGTGCTCTGACATGGTGGCAGACTTGTCATCCTTGATTGTGCATGAGCAGTGTCCAGACCATGGCTGAAATGGTGTGGTTGGTCCCTCCTCAGGGTTCTTTCACTTGGGGGGCATGATGGTAACACAGACTCAGGGGGGTGTCAGGGCACACCCTGCCTGTGCCTACCCTGCCACCCCTGCTCCATGCTGCACCACTCCCTGCCCCCTCTCTGTCAGGACACATACCCTGACCTAGCCTGGACCTGGACCCGCATCTGGACCCACACCTGCCCACCGCACTTCCTGCATGTTGTCATATCCATCCCCAGCCATCGACTTCCGATCCCTCCGATCCCTCCGATCCCTCTGGTCTACTTCTGCTCCTTCCTCACTAACCTCGGAGCTCCCGTATTCTGCAATTCCCTCGGTACCCCTTGATGGTCACCACCCCCTCCTTTCAATTTATTACCTATGCCTCCCTAAGTACGGAGCCCTGAAGGCTTCCGGACAGCTCCGATGTCTGCTAGCGCACTCCCGCCTCCACTGGACAATACACTTGCTTGCCCTGCAAAGCCCACCTTCGGGCCTATCCCTCCTTTCCATTTCTGGGTTATCGCCTGCCTTTCTGTTAACCCTGTAACCTGACTCATCGGTAATATTCAATCGGCTAATGTCTAACCCCATTAGCTCCGCTCCGCTCGGCTCTGCCATTTGCGGACCCACCCTTGCTGTAACTATATATACTCAACTTGTACATAGGTCACACTTCAGTAATAAAATCGACTAGAGTTTACCCCCTTCAGTTCTGGTTGCCAGTTTAGTAAGTTAGGGCACAGACATGTTACTTGGCATAGCGCTCCTGGCACAAGTCGCTGAGGCCGAAGCCCTCCACCACAGAGACACTCCTTCGTCTCGACCAGGTCTCTGACACATGTGCACCCCATGCTGCACACTCCATGTGCCACATGCTCCAGGCCCTGGATCCCATCCCCCTTGTGATGTCCAGGTATCCCCAGGAGTTTTCCTTATATTGTGGCCACTGTGGGAAAGTGAGAAGCCAACCTTCTTCTCACTTTCTTACCCACAGTAGTACTGTGCCCTGGGATGGGTTAAGCTGTGGGCCATAGAGAGGGGTCATGGGGACCTGGGGGTCATCCCCTGACACACACTCCCCTTTCCCTTTCTCTTTCTTTCTCCCTTTCTTTTTTTCTTTCTTTCTACATAGACCACCTCTCTCACTATCAATGTATCACCAACATGCATGCCACATGCCCTTCTGATACCCATAACCCCCACACCACCATCACCACTGCTGCGCTCACCTTGCACCCACAGTGGACTCCCAGGGAACTCCTGCAGAGACACCTGGGGAGCCACAGCTGTGGGTGGGGATGACATGGCACTTCTCACATGACCAATTCTGCATGTATGTAATAACAGCTGGAGTGGGAACTGAAGAAGTAGCCTTCTTCTCACATTCCCACTTCAGATTAAGTGGTTGGGGATGCTCACCCCATGATGGGACTGCCACTACACACAGCCGCTTCTTGTCTCATCGGGTCCCCAGTGCCGGGTGCTATACCAGGACTCCACCGCTTTCGGAGCTGTCCCTGACAGGGGGGCAGCATTGGTGGCAAAGATGGTAGTGCTGCAAAGGGAGAGGAGGACAGGTGACCTGGAAGGTAGGACTGTACAGTAGGACTCATGGATTTAGTAAGCGGTAAGGCCGGCTTTAGGTGCAGTTTAGAAACCTGACTTTAGGCCAGTTGCCACTAGCCCCAAGTCAAAGTGGCCAGTTTAGGTCCAGTTTTGTCACTCATGTGTCACTTTAGATATTTCACTTTAGATCCACTTTAGTCAACTGTGAAGCCCCCTAATGAAGAAAATATCACGAAACAGTCAAAAACCAGACCAAAAATGGTTTTTTACGGCCATGTAGTTCCCACAGTGCAAGCCGGATGCAGGCCGGTATGGCCTTGAGGACAAGTCATCCCTGTAAGTGCAAGACAACAGGGCACCCAATTAAACTACCAGTGAAAGGGAATAAGCTGGATGGAATAAGATCATCCTAACTTTCAAAGGAGCATTCAAGCAGGTGTCACCATTCAATAAACGTCCCTGCCGCATCGCTCAAAGGACGTATAAGTGAAGGAACGATAATTAATACTTCGAATTACACCGATGCAAGGCATCGCGCGCCTCCCAGCTAACTCAAAGGCGTGGGCACCACCATACATCAACAACAAAGTAACATCGGCCTCTCCCAATCGACAATCCCCTTCCTATACCCCCCATTTCTTCGCTCTCCGACCTCGTCACCTACATACTCATTAATCCCATATTACCCCTCCCCATCCCGCCTCTGCCCGCCTTTCCACCATATCGAAAGGAAACAAATCAATATAAAATAAACACGGACTAATTTGTGAGAGGCGAAAAAAGTGAAAATGCGAAGAGAATATATACGAATGCATTTTGTCGACGAATGACGTCCAGCATTCAGAACACAAACACCCCTGCACACCAGAAGACACACACACACATAGCGCAATGAGTAGAACTGATGGAATAAGCCGATTATTGTCTTGGGCGACGAGGGTTTGGGAGTAGGTGATAAGGACGAAAATGTTGGCGGGCGATCGGTGAGGTGGCTTGATGCGCAAAAAAATGGTCATGTCATCATGCTGGACAACGTCAACGAGAAGAAGAAAAGAAAAAGAAAAATTAGAAAAAATAAAGTTAAAAAAACTTATTCAGCCGGAATTTCGTTCGAGACCATTGGATGCCATCATGAAACGTATGTCGAGAGAAGGAGAAAAGAGAAGAGAAAAAAACATTGCCCTGGATGATGTGCTTGTGCCAATTGACCTTGTCGTTCTTGCTAATGCAAAAGAGAGAGAAGAAAGAATACGTATACGCTGTCATACGAAACGTGAATGTCGGGAGTGCGCGAATGACGTCGTCGAAGGGTGGGGGGCAGGACGGTTGGGAAAGAACAATAAATATAAATGAGAAAAAATAGTTCCTCCCCCCCCAGTCATGTAACCCACCAAATCGACGACAACGCAAGTCAGTCAGGTGTAGTATGTATATGCCAAAAGAAGGCGACCCATTATCCATATACGTAGGTTGCCAAAAAAAAACAGGGAACAATATGGAGGCGGCAAAAAAAAGGAGTTGGGAAAGTGTGAACTTGCGCGAGCAAGCGAGCGAGCGGGTACCTCGGGAGTTCCTCGGAGTGTTACAACACCATGCGTCGAGACGAAGAGTCCAAATCGAGGAAAACCGAGGGGGGAGATAAGGGAGAGAGAAAAGACGTGGGCAGGGAGATGGGGTAAAAAGATGAGCAGCACGAAAGGAACAAGCCTTTCGTGTCAGACGAGACGACACGAGAGATGGAACCTTTCCACCTCCCTCATCGTCCCCCCTCAAAACTCCCTTCACTAAAACTCTCCACGTCCACATCCTCATCCATACTCCCCCTCCTACTACTCTCCCCACTATCCCCACAACGTCCACCCTTTCCTCCACTCTCCCATTCACTCGCGTTTCCACGATCTGCAACGATCTTCCTCCAAAACGCCCATTTACTCCCCGTCCGTTTATGTTTATGATGTCCAAAAAAGGGACGACGAGAATGACTATCATCGCTCCCAACAACGGTCTGTTCATCACTCTCATATTCACTTCCCTTCCGTCCTCCAAACACCATCTCCGTCTCCATCTTCCCATCACCCGACTCCTCCTCACCAGACGAACTGACCAACGCCTTCAACCTCCCTCTGAACAGAACGGGGCCAAGACTCAACGCGGACAAGAACACAAGTTTCGTCACCACGGCAGGTGATGCCAAAACAGACGACAAAGTCTGCGGGGTCGCAGCCGACGCGTCATATGGAAGGAATGTACCCGATGTTGATGAAGCGTTCGTTGTAGAGGCAGCTGAAGCAGCGAACGAGGTTGCTGACAACGTTTGTATGATATCCCCGATCTATAAAAGGAAATAAATGAATTCTTGGGTGCCCTGGAGTAATGGAACGAAGGATGTTGACATACCTGACAAGTGACGGCCGTCCAAGGTAGCGTCCCGATAAAGCTCCCCACGAAACAATCCCAAAGGCTCACTCCTACCACACCACACGCAACGTTAATCCCACTCCAGGGAACGACACCCACAACTCTCATCACCACCAACCTCACCCACGTCGGCGTCGTCTTCTTTCTACTTCCTTCCATCATCCCTTCATTCATCCTCTTCCCAGACATAGGAACAACAACCCCTTGTCGCCTAACGACGACCATCCGTCCAAGTTTCTCATCCCAAACTCCTTCCTCAAAACCTTCCTCTCCACCACTCCTCGAGCTGATATCCCCTTCCAAAGCACCCCTCGTAAGAGCTACAGCCTTTGGGAACAGAACGTTGACGATCCCTCCCAAAGGCCTACTCAACAACGTCGCAAACACGGTCCCACAACTCGTCAGAAAAGTCATATAAATCGTCATCATCCATACCCATCCACTTCCCTTACCCATCAATCCACCCGCCATCACGTTCAATAATACACTCCCTGGTATGCTCCATGCGTGTTTCCACATTGTGGTCAGGCTGAGCACTAACAGCACGTGCATCCTGCCCCCTCCACCTCCACCTCCACCAATATTCCCATTCCCATTCCCGGCATAGGTCCTAATTTCATTTAACAACGTCGAAATATCACCCAACGTCTTCGGGATGTGTTTAAGTGAAGGAATAGGTAGCGACCAAAGCGAAATGAGTACGGGAGTTGTTGTTAAAACGAAGGTGAGAAGGAGGAAGAAGAGAGGTGCATAAAGGGAACGAGGGTGACGTTTGTGGAGGGACCAGTAGCGACGATGATGGGAGTGTTGGAAAGGGGGAGTTGGAAGGAGAGAAATGGGGGATGGAGGGGATACGAAAAGGGACGTGAAAGGTGATTGGGGAGGTGTGGAGTCTTCGTCAGAGTTGGAGCGGACGTTTGTGTAGACGCCCGGCGAGACGTGATGGGTAGTCTGAAATTGAGTACCCCATGAACGTTGTTGAGATTGAGCTTGTCGTGGAATAGGTTTATGAGGTTTATAGGTATATCCATTCGACACTCCACCGTTGACGTGTGGAGACAATAGTGATGAATGGTTAGTAGAACTAGCTGAGGAAGATGGAGGAGGTTGGGATTGGGAGCGCACAAGTGGAGGAAGAGGGATTGAAGATGTTGCAGCTGCACCCAAAGATAATAAAACAGATAACATTGAACGATCCAGCGTTCCAGGGTGTTGATCAGACATGGACGTGCCCGTACCATTCGTTGTCGTCGTTGTCGTTGGTGCAGAACCAGAACCCGCCAAACTCAGTCCAAGACCAGAGGTTGCAGGAGTAAGAGAACCGATCGTTGTAGTAGGTGCTGTATCTTTACGAACGAGAGCGGAAGGCGTTTGAGGTTCGGGGGGTAGGTTGGAATTTGATCTGATTCTCGGACTTAGACCGTTGAGCGACAAACCATTGCTTACAGAAGAAGCGCGTGGGCGAAGCTGGGACGCTGGGGGTGTGAGTAGAGAGGAAGAACTGGCAGTCGTCTGCGTGGCGTGGTGTGCATGAACGGTTGATGACATTGCGTAATGCTTAACACCTCCCTTTTGTGGTTAGTTTTTTGGTTTTCTGTGAAACTACGCAGTCCGCCTCTTCGGGTGATGATGATGATGAGAGGGGGGGGAGGAGAACGGTAAGAGGGGGGGGCTATAGTGAAGGGAACGTTGAAGGGATATCAGAGGTAGCAACAAGTGAGGGTGAAAAAGGCGTGTGGGAGCCGAAAACGGGCCCCGGCACCAAGAACTAAATTAAACTGAATCCTTGTGTCTTTTGCTTCCGTTCTCACGCCACTTCTTGTTTTTTTGTTCGGGGTTCGTACTCAGGGGAAGAAGAGACGGAGAGGTAACTCGGGGCTGGCAAAGTGGGTTGAAGGGAGGGCGTTTAGTTGCACCCGAACGCGCTTTGCGCAGGATTGCTGCGCCCCAGTTCATGTTCCGGGTTGTGTACTGCCACCTTCGACTTGTCAACGATCATGACCAATTTCCTAATGCCCATTCGGCTCCGCTGCTAAATTCGGCATCTCCAACAGATAGCTGTTCATCTTGCAATTTCCCATACATAAACATCTTCTCGGCCTTCCCGGATCACCCGCGGAGCCCTTGGCATGCGTTCTCACATATATTGTTCTCATTTGCTTCATGTCTTCTATATTGTTATCTTTGTCAGCAATCGACCGCGTGACACTATCTACTCCACAAGTTCGCGCCGGGGCTTCTTGGCCGGCATGGCGGTGTTCCAACCCCGATTCTGGAATAGCCTTGTTCCTGATGTTACACTTTGGCGTGACAACTATCAACTTTTCGCCCTGCTACCCCTCTACACTCAATTCTACTCCGCGGCAGCAAAACGCCACGCAGAACAGAAGTTGCAATCAGCCCACACGTCGCTGCCAAGATGGATCCGCTGACTTGGGCAGGTGTTACCAGCTTCTATTCCGCTGACTCCGGGTCCGCCCCGGGTCTGCCCAAGATCTATTAAACGTGTGAAGGCGTTGCATAACCGGTTAGCGACAATTCCAACTGATGCGCTCCCCTGCGGCACAGTTTCGCAGTTTCACTAGATCAAGCCCCCTTGCCAGGGTCAACGTGCCGCCACGAAAGGCCCTGCTATCCCACTGTGGCGTCTCCTTTTCATTTCATCCCTGTACTGCCAGCTTTTCGCATTTTATTATGCATGGGAATGAACCGTGTTGCATTTACACAACGGGCCGGCACAAAGCCTAACATCGTGTTTCAACACGAAACCCCGGACACCCACGTACTTGCCAAGATTTATTAAACACGAACATTTGACTGCCGAGGGGCATTGCATAGCTTCTACGTAATCCGCTGATTCCCGGCCTGTCTACCGGGCGCTGCATGTAGCTCTACCAAATTGAGTCTTTCGCTAAGCGTACCAATATTGTGCAAGTCCCTGTTGTCCGTAGATGCAACCCGTGGCTCCAACGCTCATTCCCTGTCTACTATTGAACCACCTGGTTCAAATTCGATCGGTGCCGTGCTTTCGCCACCGCTTCGTAATCGCACCACCGTTCTCATACATATATACCTTCTCACCTCAACTCTCACGCTCACCTACTTTTGGGTGATTGAATCTCCAAAAGCTGGATGGACTTGATCTCCAAATCGATTGTCTGCCAATTGCCGCTGGCGTCATTTCGTCTGCATCTGGTTCGCCCGCAATAATTGCTCAGTTTTCGCTTAGGGTTGACTTCCTATCGATCGGGAAACGAATGAAAGACGTCTTCGTGTAAAAGTCAATTAAGCTTATATCATACCAAGTTTTCTCTGTGAACCGATTGCAGCCCCTACAGATGAGCTTGGTACTACCACTGGCACTTTTATATGTTACTCATACTCTCAGCTCCGGAGCCTTGCGACTCGTCATGAGGCAAGTGGCAACCACGTGCCCATCGATTGTTCTCCTACTAGTGGTCGTGCTTCGCGGTCCAAGGTTAGACCTTGAATTCGCCCCCTTGGAGGATTCTGCGGTTATTTCCACACCCTTATTATATTGGTGCCACTCAGCATTTAGCCCCATAGGAGCTGTTACGTCATATCAATCAACGCCTTATGGCCAAGCAACAATGAGTTGTGGTGGCGCCGCATTGCATGTGAGAATTGATAAGGTTTGCATCCGCAAAGCCAAGCCGTAAGTCCCCCCTACATGCAATTCAGCTGCTTTCGAAATTGCATATATATATATATGTGCCAGACCTTGATACCAGTTCCAAAGGCAAGCTCTTTCCCACTTTGCACTCATGGACGCAAGCAAACCCATCATTGGACAGACCAACATTGCCCCCTCCCCCGATAACGATCATCAATCGTGTTCGCCTCTTGCCACATTTATAAGGGCATGCACAGTTATCGCAGGGTGCACTGGTGCAATTGTGGTCGCTAGACTTATTGGTGGAATTTGTCAGCTGACATGAGGACGGTCCACATCGAATCCGTGAAGTTCATACACGTACTGTTCATCCAAGTCCCTCAACCGGACGATTTGTTGTTGATCCCAACAAAACAAAAAAAGCGTACAGCCGGTCGAACAATTTGACCCCTCCCCCTCTCTCTTTAGTCCCCTTTTCAGATGCTGGTTTCAAGTAGGTTTTTCCGCATCGGACGTGCCAGGAGAGGCGATAGTCAACAAGAAATGACTGTCCCATTTTCGGACACCTCATGCAGGTAACGATTGCACTGATAAATTGATCCCGTATTTGATTTGTCAGGGGACTGGATAGGGGGGGGGAGCTCTTCTACATACTTCATCAATCCCGCCTCCAACGCTTAGTTCAGTGCTGCGAGTTTTTGTTCCCAATGTTTGGAAAGCTACTTAATTCCCTCGTCCCGTGTGTGTGGATAAGCGTTCAGATAATCCACCACCACCACCACCACCACCGCTGCCCATAACAGTAACCTAACACCAACCTAAGCAGAGCCTGTCGCCTTCAACTTCAGATTAGTTTTGCCACACCCCCATCGCCTCTGTTGTCCTAACCTCCTTTCGTGTTGTGTTTCTTGGCTGCCCCTCGCTGACAAAGCGCGTCGATCGCACTAACCTAGCTTTTTTCCCGTCTCTCGCCCTATAGTTGTCGCCCTAGGACCCTTGCCACTTTTGTCCCCCTATCCCCTACCTCGTTTCACTCCTATTCTATCCTTCTACTATGTCCGACTCCGGAGCCCAGACTTCGAACACAGCTATTAATGAATCCGACTTTGTTTTGCCGGGGGTTGAATCCGTCGACGTCCAATCTAATCTCTCTCAAAACCAGCAAACCCTCCCATCGTCGTCGCTCCAATGCTGCGAATTACTTGTCCGCAACCTCCCAGCCACAACGCCGGATTCCGCCGAGAGTCATCTAAAAAAGGTCGTCGCTGACCTACTTTCCCGTCATACTGATCTCATAAAAGTCGCAGTCTATCGTTCCTCTACGCGTGGGAAATCTGTCGACTACGCCTATCTCCGACCCGACGCGTCGGTAGTCAATTCAGTTAAACAGGCACATCACATGAAGAAATGGATTAAACCACTAGAGGATTTAGCCTTCGGAACAGTATGGAGTCCTATGTTTGGTGTGGATAACCTCAGGATTATTTCGCTGGTTTACGACTCAGATGGCATTACCCCGAAGGATTGGGAAGCCCAGGTCTTGCGCGCTCTTGGCGCGGTAAACATCCGAGCTCATTATGCCAGCCCCACAACGCGAGTATGGCTAAAGTATATGACCAGCTGGCTCAACACCGCCTTCAGGTCGAGACAGTGACTGCCGGAGCTGACCGTGCTATCACCACTCTGACTGAACAGATGCATCAGACTAATGAGGTTGTGAGCTCTATGTCTTCTGTCGTTCAAGCTCAAAGCCACACCGTAGCCGCGCTTAACAGATTGATGGCTGGAATGGTACACACTATCGGCGGACAGATGCAGGTTTCAGGCCTTTGTGAAGAGATTACTCTTCTTGTGTTGGAGCGGGATCACGCAAAGACAGATGCCGAGAAGGATGCCATCACCAACAAAATTATGGTTCTTCACCAACGAGTTCAGTCTGCTTCCGAAATGAATAGCGTGTTGTTCAAGAGCCTCTCAGATCTCCAAATCGGCACCAGCATGACTATCGACTGCCTGTCTCCTCAACAGGCGATTCAGTCATCATCCATCCAATTTGACGATGCCGATATGGCCCTGGAGTCCCCAGGCACACCCGATGATCCTGGCCCATCAGCTAAACACCATCGTAAGGTGCCGTATCTGATGCATTCTTTGCTCTTTCATGCCTCAGTCATTCGACTATGTCGATCCTTCGATGCCCTCTACCATCTAATCTTCTCTGTTCTTGGGCCCCCTTACTCACCCCCTGTTTTTCCTGCTTCTTCAGGGCTGAATTTCCGCTTGGTATCCGATCATGTTTCCTTTTCCCCTACTGCTCCATCTCTTCCGCTAGTTAACTTTCCCTCTGTCTTACCCCCTGCCTTGCTTGCTTCTTCAGGGCTGAATTTCTGCACACTGTCTGATCACATTTCGCTTTCCCCCTCTGTTCCTCCATCTGTTCCTCATGTTAATTTTCCCTCTGGTTTACCTTTTCAGTCAGCACATGCAAGTGGACCTCTCCTGTCTACTGCTCTGACCTGTGTTTCAGTGTTCTGTTCTGCAGCTGTCCCAGTTTCCCTTCCCCATGTCTCAGTTGTTTCGTTGTCTGTGGCCTATTTGTGGGTGTACTTCTCTATACAAACCATTGTACGGGCTTTGGTTTGCAAACCCCCATTTCTTGTTGTTACATTTCCTGTTCTTTCTCTTCTTACCGGGGGCCCAAGTGACTTCAATGGATTTCAGTGTTCTCGTGGCTAACGTGAACGGACTGGGAAACGCTTTCAAGCTCCATCTCATTATGTCCCTCATCACATCCACTCTTCCTCTCGCTTTCGTTCTATCTGAGACCAAATCAACAACACCATCTATGCCCTTGTTGAGCCTTCCCAACTATATGGTATATGAGAGTCCAGCTTTGCCACTAGCCTGGCAATGTGGGAAATGGGGTCTAGCTTTGGGAGTGAGGAAAAACTTCCAAGTTTTGCATCATCTCTCTGTCCCTCCAGTTTTACAGGGCAGGGTAGTTGCTCTCGATGTTATCCTAGCCTCCTCCTCTCTAGCCCCCAAGGTCCTATGGCTTTTGGGAATATATGCCCCTTGTAATGCTGTGTGGGAATCCCTCCATTCTTTCTGGTCTGAAATTCGGAGTCTCATATCGCAAGAACCATTCCCTCACCTGTGGATGGCTGCTGGGGATTTCAATGTGACCATGGCCCTGAGGGAATGGTCATCAGGTGCTCTTTCACCAGAGGCTCTGATCTACCAAGATTTCCTCGCGGCTTTGGACGCTCTCGATTTATGGTCTCTGAAGCATGAGGTGGATGTCAACTCAGACTACATGCTTAGGTCTTATGCAAATGGGGCCAAGTCAGTAGTGGATAGAGCAGTGATCTCATCCTCTCCAATCTTCTCCGCATCCATCCAGACCCAGCGGGATTTCCTGGGTGCCACAGATCACCATGCCATTCACATCTCTGCTCACATACTTGGCTCAGAAGGCCCATCTCTTGTGCCTTTCTTACCTCAGCGTTCCCTTCCACCTCCGCGTCTGCTCTATCCTTACCCCTCCAGCTCTACTAAAGCGAAATTTGATGATTTTGCTGGCAGGGTGGACTGTGAAATAGCGGACCAAGGGCTCCTCACTCATGAGATTGTGTCCCTAGATGAGTTCGAGTTTGTCTATCGTGCTCTCTCAAAAATTCTACTCTCAGCAGGGGATGATGTATTTGGTCATCGAAGAGCTTTTTCACCTCAATTACAGCCTCCTGCAATCTCCTCTCCTGAGATTAGACAAGTCAACTATTGCATTCGTGCTGTTGGTGGTTTGTTGTTCCAACTTCACCAAGGTCCTCTGCCTTCTGTTCACTTTCTCCCTTTGCGACTGCACCCAGAGTTCTTGCATATCCCCTCTTCGATGGACCATGAACATGCCATTGTTCTCCTCTGCCAATGTCGGAAATATCTATTCAAGGAGCGATATTCCCATTCAAACAGACTGGCTCATGAACTGTCAGGGAACATACCCTGACTTAGCCCGGACCCGGACCCGCATCCGGACCCGCTCCACTTCCTGTGCACGCTTCCTGCGCCGCATGCTCTGGTCCCCGGATCCTACCTTCATGTGACTTCCGGGTATCCCCGGAAGTTTTTGCCATATTGGGGCCACTGTGGGAAAGTGAGAAGTTAACCTTCTTCTCACTTTCTTACCCACAGTAGGCAAGTGTAGCCTACTTTCTATTTATCTATACACTTTCTTACCCACAGTAGAGTTGTGCCCTGGACAGGGCTGTTCACAGGTTAGACTGTGGGCCATAGAGAGGGGTCATGGGGACCCGGGGTCCATCCCCTGACATGAACGTGCTTCATTGGCACACTGTCAAAAGGTGCTTGCCATTCTTAGAGGCTGCTCAGCGAAGTCTCTCATGCCATATGAGTTGGCAGCCGACTCGCCCTTGGTGGTAGAGGATCCTGACACACATCAGTTAGTATCAGGAGAGGAGGCAGTGAAGGATGCAACCATTCGCTACTTTACCAATCTCTATCATCATCCTCCTACCCCAGAGGACAACAAACCTTGGCTCGATTGCTCCCCAGTTCGTGCACTGAGAGATCAGGTCCTACACTCTCCTTTCATATGGCCCCGCTGTGTCTCCTTACCTGAGCTTCGTTCGCTCCTTGTCGGGGTAACCCTCACCCAGCCCCAGGCCCAGATGGGTGGGAGAAGTGGTGTGTTAAGGCACTGTCAGACTCCGCATTATCCCTGGTGCAATCCCTCCTAAATTTCCAAATCACTCATTCCTTCATTCCAGCTTTTCTCAGAGATACAGTCCTGGTTACGCTTCACAAATGGGGGCTCACTACACAGCTCCAGAATAAACAAGGAATCATGTTCTCAAATCTTCTCGCCAATCTTCCTTTTGCCTGGCTGAGCTTACAATTGAATTTGTACAATGTTAAGGTTCAGCTCATTCCTGAAACTCAAGTTGCAACTCAGCAGGGTGTTCAGGGTAGAGACATGACCAGCTTCCTTGCCCAAGTTGAGGCCTGGTCCAACCGTATGTCTACACCCCTCTTTATTCTGAAGCGCAACCAACAGAAGGGCTTCGATTTCCTTTCCCCCATGGGTTTTCATGATGCCATCCTAGCCTACGGGCTGCCTGAGAGCATAATCGATCTAGACCAGTCATCCCAGCTCGATGTTCACTGCTCTCTTCGCACCGCTTATGGTGATACTCCTCCAATCATCATTAATGGGGTAACAAAACAGGGTGGCTTGCTATCTCCTTTCAAGTTGGCCCTTACAACTAGTCTAGGTCATCGTTGGTTGTCAGAGGAGCACGGGGTCAAGATTTCGTCTATTAAGGCGTGCAATGCTGACCCCCATCATCATGCCGATTCATTGTCTATTAGAATCTCTATGGTGGAGGCGACAGATGACTCCCTCCTTTTTACATCTTCCATCTCTTCCATCTGCTCAATGTGTCTACTTATGGAACATTTCCAACTGGCTTATGGTTGGTTAATGGCTTGGGAAAAATCAGAGGTTGTTGTGCTCAATTCGAGTTCCTTCAAGGCCAATTCCATCTCTATGCCAACAATTTCACTTTCTTGCCCTTCATCTCCTCTAGTCCCAATGGTCCAGGTCCCAGTTTGTCGTGATCATATTCATTTCCTCCATGTATCCATCAATGACCCAAACTCACAGTTCATTCATTTATCATCTTTGATTTCATCTTTTATCATTCCAAAATCCTATCAACATTTCCCTATCACAGTGATCCAGAAAATTGTTAACCAACTATTGATATCAAAAGTTCAAGCTCATTTGGCCTTGCATCCAGTGTCCCCATCTCATGCCTCATCCCTTCAGTCACAAATCGCATCTCTCGTCCACTTGTCAGGGGACATAGCGTAAGCGGTTCTCTGTTACCCTATTGATATCATGTAAGACTATATCACCACATGTAGCCACATCGGCCCTCATATATCGTAAATCCCTCACCTTCTCCTGATCCGACTCTGCCCCTTTGATCCAAGTGTTCCTTCATTTCTATTCACTTCGTTTTCTATCGGATCACTGTTTAGTTCCTTTGATCCTATCTCTTCCGATTGATTGATGTCACTCGTGTATATAGCTCTATGTGCCGCTGAGGGTTGGAACCTCAGCTTTGTCTATGACTAGGTTTTCAGGCGATATTCGACTCGGACTGATGAGCGATCCCTGACCCCACTCTTATCTTCCTTTCCCATTTTCCCCTTTCACTCAAGTGCTTTCTCTCCCCTCGAATCACTATGGCTTCGGTTTCATGTCCATTCCACATCTCAATGCTTCTCTTGCTCTGGCTGGACTACTCCGTGATTTGAACCACCATCTTCTGATTTTCAGACATGTCTCTCATATCTTTGGCAGATTGGGAGTGTTCTGTTCTTGTTAGACACTGGTCTGGGGTTGGCACCGAAGGTTGCTGATGCAGGCCGCTATTGGCTGCGATGGCCGCGATGCCTTGAACAAGGCCCAAGGGTAGGGCATTTGGCCTCAGCAACTCTAAAGGGAGTGCTGTGCCCCCTAGCTGTCTCTTGGCCCTCATTTCAGACTCGCTGGGGTTGCCTTGTTGGGGTAAGGACTTAGGGGTCGTGGTCACATCGATATTAGAGCTAAGGTACAATAAAGTAGCATACAGGATATATATAGGGAGAAAGAATGAATGGAAGCGGACCTGGGCTGAAGGCCGAAGGGTCCGGAAGCAAAGGAAACAAAGAGCGGGGTTGGCCACACAGCGGCCAGCAATGACCGAGGGTCAAAACAAACAATAACAGATAAATAAAAGAAGGAGCGTAGGGCCGCAATGTCAGGGCACACCTGCCTGACCTGGCTCCACCCACCCTGACCCGGTATCCCGCCCACCTCTACTCCCCACCCTTCATCAGGGTTCCTCAACTCCTGTTCTTCTTTCTATCCTTTTGTTCTTTTATTCCTTTGTTCTTTGTCCTATCTTTATCTACACAGACAACCTTTCCCCATACCTATGTATTATTGACCCGCCCGTGACACATGCATGACACACCCAGCCCTGGACGACCCGGATGGCCTCGCAGTGCAACCCAGCACGTGCGCGTGCTGCACATGCCCTCGGGATCCCCCATGGGGACACCTGGATGACTGCGGCTGTATGCGGGGTGAAGTGGCAAACCTCATGTGACCCAAGCCGCATGTACATAAAGGTACCTGGGGTGGGAACCGAAGAAGTAACCTTCTTCTCACAGTTCCCACTTCAGTCTGAGTGGCCAGGGACCATTGTCCTGGATCGGGCCCGTCAGTATGCACACCCGCTCCACACCCCGTGATGGCCTCAGTGCCGGGCATTACCCCCAGGCCCTCTCGACCCCGGACGCATCCCTGACATGCGATAGCGGCGATGGTATTGTAGCGGCGCTGGACTCGGAGTTGGGCCGGAGTCGGGCGTGGGAATGGTAGCGGCCCTGTAGGGGCCAAGTGGGCGGGGTAGAGGAGTTGCGCTGGGCACGGTGCTGGAGGCGGACTCAGGGTGGGAAGGTTGGTGTGGCTGTGGGGAAGTCGGCCAGGTGCAGGGGAGCCTAGGGGCAAGCGGGGGAGTGAGCAGGGAGTCCTTATGGAGGATAGGGCTGGGGTTGGGGCTCGCGCTCACGCTCGCATAGCGGGAACGGGCTCGGGTGGCATCGGGACAGGCAGCTAACAGGCTGGAATGCATGGCCGTGACAGTTCTGCCTTGTATTTTTCCTTATGATTCAGTTGGCTTACGTTTGTCTTTTCTCCATCATTGGCATTCTTTAC